TACTTCATGGCAGAAAACGTTTGTATATCAATTTAACTGTTTCATTTTCTCGGAAGTCCGGCCAGTATGTTCACATTCTAACTAACATTGCCTGAAAGAACGTAACCCAACAAGATAAAACAGGTGATTCACTTTCCTGCCGTGTGTGTGTGTCTCATTCCATCTTGCACTGTAAGCAATTCATACTTGTGGTATTAAACTATAGCTCTGGTATGTACAGTTACATAAAATCTTAATGATCTAATATTGTAAATCCTAGTTCATGTGCTTGTTATTAGCGAGTGATTCATCACATGTGAATACACAGTGCCTGCTGTTCAGCAGATGTATGTGACTGAGTCCTCTGTGCTGTTGATGTTTGTGTAGTTGCATCTTTGATCCTATGAAAAAAAACAATTCCTCTTTGTAGGTGTAAGTGAAAATACTAAGGGCTCGTTCACACCAATAGCAGCGACTGGCATCTTTTCAGCAGCTGATCAATGCACTCTGCGGCTAAGGTAAGTAGAAAACAATTGTTTTCAATGTATGTGTGATGTGCAGTGCCAAAAATGTAGACACGCCGCTGCTTTTATCTGCAGAGCACTGGATGGCACTGCAGCCCACCATACTGCTGTGCAGAGACCTGGATGGAGTGTACACTTTAGAAACTCTGAATAAAGTTTAAAAAGTAAACAATGAGGAGCGCTGAAGCAGTGCATTACAAACTACACGGAGGGTAGGGGGAGAGGTGACCACCGGGGTGCTGATTTGGTGTTCAGCATGTTATGGTAATTTCAGAAGTCCTTTTCAATATTTCTAAATCTGCCATTTATGTCCCTGCCTCCCAGTTGCTCTCCTGCGTTGTCACATTGCGGCCATGCTGAGACACATTGCGCAGACGCGTGCTGCCATTGACACCAGCGGGGAGCTCGAATGATGTATTTGTTCAGTTTATGTAACGCACAATCCTGAGGTCACTGACATTGTGAATGGCAGATGTATGAGCTGATGACATTAAAGCTTATATCTGGTGGGCAGTAATGTCGGCCGTGTATGGGCAGCATTTTTAATTAATTTGAAATGTTCCCTTTTCTTCTGAAAATGTGGAAACTGTTGTTGTTGTTGTTATGATTATTTTTATTATTCAAGGGTTACACATAATATTTTTTTGGATGATGAAAAGTACTCTGAAGAGTGGGACTCTGATCTAAAAGAGGAAGGACTTTGATGTGAAGGGGCTGACCACGTTTTAGATTTGGGTGCCTCACTATTTTGCATGCTTTTGAAGGGTGCTGTGACTGAAAAAAGGTGGAGAATCTCTACACATAATCATTTTTTTGATGATTAAAGTACTCTGTAAAGGGTGGGACAAAAGACTCTGATGTGAGGGAGGTGACCACATTTTTGACTTGGGTGCCTCACTATTTTTGCATGCTTTTAAAGGGTTTCGTGACTGGAAAAAAGGTTGAGAGTCCCTGTTCTAGAAAATCCCAGTGCAGGGGTAGGCAACCTTGGGACTCCAGCTGTGGTTGTCTACCCCTGTCCTAGTGGATGAGTGACGGTATGTGTAGACATTTCTGAGGGCCTGTTCACACCATATGCAGTTATGATGCAGTCCTTTTATTTCAACTGCGCAGTTAAAATACATCCCAATGCTTTCCTGAGCTTTCTTGTGGCTAATTCACACCATTGCAGTCGATTCAACTGCAGTCACAAAAAGTACTGCTTGTCCTACTTTAACTGCATCAAAACGCATCAGACGCATTGTAAACGCAACGGAACACATACAAAAAAAAAAGAATGGCTAAAGTCAAAACTAGCACCATGCCAGCCAACAAAGAAAGCATGACTGAGCTGCCAAACGAACAAAACAAACATAGGAAATGCTCTGACAGGAAAAGGAAGTGACCTACATGCCTAATTAGCATTTTTTTGTGCAGTTAAAAAACGCATTGCAAACGCATCGCAGTGCAACTGCGCAGACGCACGCCGTTGTGATGCAGTTTCTAGTGTGAACTAGTCCTAAGACCTGCTTTTGTTTCCGGAGGTTGAAATTGACTTTTACTTCAGCGTGGGTTTGCTGTAGATACACTCATAAACTATGCAGCTAGTTCACACTACGTGACAAAGCTTTTAGCATCCTTGCTGTCTCGGTTGATGACTATACCTTGAAGTGGCACATTTTACACGTTTGGCTCATTTGTTCTGCATGCTTGGAAAATCTGTCATTCAGGTGAAAAATTGATTGAAATGGTCTTAGTTTGCCATAGCTGAGAATGTTTGTTTTGTGCTCTGCTTTAGGTAAGTTTTTTTCCCTTTGGTCAATGAGAGTAGAAGGGGACAAACATTAAACTTTTTAGGATGTTTGCATCTCGACTGTACATTTGACATTTCCCATCACAAGGGGAAAAGAGTGTAATTAAAGGTGAACTGAAGCCAAAACTTTTTTTTGGATAGGGTGGAGAGGCAGGTTTTTATTGCTAACTGTGTCCCCATTAAGGAGATGACACTCACCAGGACAAATGGAGAGGGGGTAATCACTGAGGGTTAGTTCACACCAGCCCCAGTGCGTTTCGGCCCGATTGGTGTCGGAATGCACTGGATCGCATTTCGGCAAGCTCACGGCCAGCCGTGCCCTCCAGCTGCAGTGCAATCACCTGCACCGGAACGTCTGACGCATCAATGCCTGCGTTCCGGTCTGGTGCTGTCAGAAAAATTGCTGCATGCACTATTTTTCTTTTCTGACCGGACAGCAGGCATTGATGTTCCGGTGCGGCGATCGCACTGCGGCCGGAGGGCGTGGCTGCGGTGCCATTGACTTCAATGCACCGCTACTCTCCCTTCCACCCCAAAACAAAGTGAGCCAGCCGGAATGCTATCCAGTGCATTCTGGCCTGGTGGAGGCTGGTGTGAACTAGCCCTTAAAGGAGAACTATAGGGTTAAGTTTTTTTCCCCATAGTTCTCCTTAGGTAACGGGAGGACACAAACTAGCGTCCTCCCGTCACCCTAGGCTCAGTATACCGCGAGCTGTAGCTCGTGGTATACTGAGACGCCGCAGTATAGCGTGAGCTGCTGCTCACGGTATACTAAGACGCCGCAGCTGAAGAGGATCCCAACAATTATGTCTGGATCCGCCCAGCTGCGTGACTGACAGCTGGCTCTGCCTATCTAGAGGCAGAGCCAGCTGTACCCGCCCCCTCCCCCGCCTGTTCCGCCAGTCAGCGCTGGCGGAGCGGGGAGGGGGGAATCCAGCCCCTCCCCTGTCACGGCAGAGAGCTGTGGCAGGATCGAGAGGTGAACGAAGGCCGGTATGTGTTCGCTCACCTCCCGATCTACTGAGCCGACCTGTGACAGTCTCATTGTCACAGGTCGGCTAGAACTATGAGGTGAGTGAAAAGCACTCACCTCATAGTTCTCCTTTTTTAAAGTGAAAGAATCCCAAATTTATGGGTTGTTATCCGAACAGGAGTTGAAGAAAAATCTTCTTCCAATGAGTTCTTAAGACCTTGCTGACCACCAGAGATTTCCCTCACATTGAAGGGATTTCCTCTCTCTCTTCCTGTTGTGTCTAACAGACAGGAAGTAAAGGTAAATCGCTCCAATGGGGCACAGATTTAAAAAAAAATAAAGTGTTGACACAACATTAGCATTGGGGCTGCGCTGGCCATTGTTTCCAGTGCAGCCCCAGCACAAGACAAGGCAATTTGCCTTATGGATGGGCACCATTCACACCACATGTTGCGGTGGTGTGCACTGGAAAAAAAAAAAGTATGCTTTACTTTTTTTTCAGAGCAGCAGGATGCGACTCGGAACAACTGCCTCGCACCTGCTGTGTTTGTGGAGGTGAATGAAATGTCACTTGTGACATGTCCGTAAAGTTCTAAAAAAAAAAGTGCGATGTGCTGAGATTAGGGCATTGGCACTGTGGGGCACCGCATACCATGTGCTGTGCGTTGCGCAGCAGCTGGTGTGAATGGACCCAACTCAACTTAAACGTGTTTTGACTTCAGTTTTCCTTTAACATTCTATGTTTAGGGGCCCATTCACACCAATGTGTTGGGGTTACCTACTGTAAAATCCACATTTTAACACCTGATTAACAATGAGGTATAGTGCACAACTGCACTAGCAGATACTGAACATGCACTTCAGTGCACAGCAGCACAATGCCATGCTTTTTGGTGCGCTTCATTGAAGAAACAAAATTGTGTCTGTATTTAGGTGTGCTGCCAGCCCATTAAGAACGGATGACCTTATGCAGTGCACTGTAATGCATGTTTATGCAACGCATAGTGTGAACTGGCCCCTAGACTGTATCCTTTTTAATGACACCATAGTTCATTGTTAATAAAATGGCACAAACCGCTGTTTTATTATTTATTTCTCAAAAAAATTATGAAACGGCTAAAAAATACAATGATGCCAAACTCCTTTACATTTTGTGCGTTGTAGAAAAGGCTGTCGGCATGCAATTTTTCCAGGTTTCAGAGTATTAAGATAATATGCAAATCTTTTTGCACATGTCACGGCAGCTCCTAATTATGCAGGGAAAGCCAAATCTTCGTGTGAGTGTGAAGAAAATGCAAGCGTGAAAAAAAAAAAAAAGGGCACTTGTATAGTAAAAATACAGGGCAGAGCTGCTGCTGTGGAAATGCTCAGGATTGCGCCTTGATTCTGGATAGTTGGGAGGAGTGTCCCAATGTGTATTCATTCACTGGAACACTTGTCTCAAGCTGGGTCCCAGCTAACAAAGAAGTGACAGCGCAGCACATGACTGCACTATATCGCGGGAGCTGGTGTTTACTGCCTTCATTGGAAACTGTTATTGTTGCATTTTTCAAACGTGTTGGAAAGCGGCTGCTATCTCCCGTGGTGTGTGTGTGTGTGTGTGTGTGTGTGTGTGTGTGGGTGTGTGTGTGTGTGTGTGTCTCGGCAGAGCTCATAGCAAGCACTGCATTGCACGGCCATAAGATTACTGTTCAGCACTCTCATGTTCGCTGTTCTCTTTCTGTTCTTTCAGGTTGTGAAAATCTGACCGATTCCCTCCACCCAGCAGCCCATCCTCCTTTTTTTTCTCTACTTGGTAACAAAAGCCCCGGAGCATGGGAAGTCACGGTGGCATCCGCACATGCTGACAGCGGCGCACTGTCTATACCTGAGCCCGGCACTATGTAACAATGCAGCAGGACTGACTGGCAGCACTACGGCTCCTGAGGAGAAGAACTTGTACATATTTTTTTTATTTTATTGCTTTTATTATACAAAGGAATTTTTAAACCTAAATGATGGCAACGGTGGAAGCTGGAACGACCATAACCAGTCGCTTGAAAAACCTGCTCCGCTCTCCTTCGATAAAGCTGCGAAGACACAAGCCCGGAGCAAAGAAGGAAGACATTGGCAGCAAGGTAGGTTCATGTTTCTGATCCCGGGTCTGTTCACTTGTTTTCGTCTGCCAGTACAGTGATCCAGTGATTTGTTTTTTGAACTAACAAAAATTGATGTTCTGCAGCTTTGTGTGTGTTGCAATTTTATTTTAACATGGAACCCATCATCTACTGTTTTTTTAATATACCGGTGGACATTCAGGAGCATGAAACGTAGCCTAGAAACTTGTAGGACCTCTAAGAAAAATCTAGCGAAAGGTTTGTGGTTCACCTGATTTATCGTAGGGGTATGCGTTTGTTGGACATCCCATTCCAAAGCCATGGACAATAATAAGGATTTGACCCCCCCACACGCACCCCAATTTGTGACTTCAACAGCCTCCACTGTCCTGGGAAGGCTTTCCACAAGATTTTGGAGTGTAAAGATATGTGAAAATCACAGGCGCCAAAACACAGTAACTGCTCCTGAAAATGGTCTTCCAAAAGTATATACAGGGGGGCAGCTCCTCACAGTCAAGGAGGGTCAGCGTGCAGATGGTTTCGGCTTACTAGCACTTCCTTTCCCTCACCCTATGTTGGTGTATTCAGCTCGGTGGTCTCCTAAGATTATATGGCTTTCTGCTCGTTTATACAAGCTGGTTTGTAAGTACCTCTTCAGCTGTGTGTTTTATTCATAAATCCATTTTACACTATGGAGGCGCTCCTTTAGATCTTGGAGAGTGTCTGAAGGAATGTTTGTGCTGAATTAGCCATAAGAGCATGTGTGAGATCAGGTTCTGATGTTGAGAGTAGAAGACCAGGGTCACCAGCAAGCGGTCCACTTCGTCTCACAGGTAATCAGTAGGGTTGAGGTCAGGGCTCTGTGCAGGCTCTTCTGGTTCCTCCGCAATAAACTCCTCAAACCATGTCTTGGTCTTGTTCTGGCTTTGTGCACAGGGCCACAGACATGCTGGGACAGGAAAGGGCCATCAACAAACTGCTCCTAATTGTCTAGAACATCTTTGTGCTGTATAGTGTAGCATTAATAGTGCACCTTCATTGAAAACGCCACAATTTAGAGGTTCGTCCAGAAAATGTTGGTCCTTTTAGTGTGTGTAAAATTGTGATTTAATGACTTCTTCTGAAAATGCTAATTGTCTTTCGTTGTTTCTAATTGTCTAGCTATCCTACTGGTCAAATGGCTTTAGGTGATGACCAGGACATGTATTTAGATTGGGAGTTTTGATGTGTGCTTGTATGAGTTAGTGACTCAGAAAATACTGGAGCTAAAGGTAGTCGGGCAACTAGCCATTTTAGAATGAGTTCAGGAAATACGGCCTTCTTCCTTCTGCAAGTAATAGGTTTCCTTTTAAAGGATGCCTTTCTTTCTTTTGCTGGCCTTTTATCTTTTGAAAATGCTAGTTGCCTGGCTGTCACATGGATGTTTTTGAGTTACTGGGTTTGAAGTAGTAATAAAAGCAGGGCAATAGTAAAAAAACGCCCAGTACCTTTTCTGTGTCCCCTGTCCCTCCCACACTTGCCTGTCCCCGACACGATCTTCCGTTCCGAACTTCCTGGTTGCGGGGAAGGAGACTGAAAGCAGAGGAGCCATAGGCTCCTTCTGCTGTCAATCAACCTGTTGGGCGGAGAGAAGGGGTGTGGCCTGCCACAGGGCTGTGTGTGTATCGGTACACACAGCTACTGCAGGCACGGCTTAGAGAGCACACACGGGTGCCTCCACAGCAGTCGCTTAGCTGATGTAGGCACCGGGGCGGGGGAGACAATGATGCGGGCACCCACTAAAAAAACGAGCAATTGAAACCTTTAAAAAAAATAAATAACAGAGCTGCATACCATCTGTGCCTCCCTTCCATAAAATAAAAAGAGCAAGGTTTAATGTCACTAATGTCAAGTTTATTGGCTACTGGTACATGGCATTAAGTTACTGACCTAGAACAGCCTAGCGATTAGCAATTTTTTTAGAAGGCGCCGCTGACTTTCCGATTTCTTTCCATGCCGAGAGCGGCGAGTCATTGCTCCCCGCAGGGATCCCCCCTCTTTTCCGTTTCTACAGCTATGTGCTGAGTTTTGGGTCACCAGAGGACATCATTATATCTCCTCCTGTGACCCTGAAGAAAACAATGGGCAAAAAAATGTTAGCCCATAGTTCTCCTTTTTAAGAGTGATGTTCAAATGAGCACTTGTAGCACCATGTCTTGTGCTAAAATATACGGTTTCCAATAGGATTTGTGTAGTTGGCTACTTTTGAAGCCCAATTCTAGATAACACTTCTTTTTTAATTTGGGTGAAGACATGGGAAGGGATAGAACCCCTGGAACTCTTGGCTAAATAAATGCTCTTGGACTCTAGAACCATTAGTGTGGCACTTGTTCACTATCTTCCTCTAGGTTTTAATTGGTGTCCATGTTCCTATTGCTATTTCCTCCAACTTCCTGTCTATTTAATGGTTGTCGGGCAGAACAGGAAATAAAGGGAAATCTCCCCAGTGGAGACACAGACAGCAATGCAAACCAGACAAAATTTCCAACCCTTCCCACACTATTTGAAATTCAAGAAAAAACTTTAGCTGGAGTAGACTTTAAAGTGAACCTGTCCTTTGCCTGTGTAGGGCAGTGCAACACATTCACTTTATACCCTCTATCCCCACCAGTATATACTTGCCTTCCTTTCAGTCCCACTCGACTCTGGTTAGCTGCAGGGAGTGAAGATATATGCCCTGTGTAAGCACTAGTTGGATTTCCAGTCAGAATCTACTCATGGGCTCTCGGTTTTCCCACCGCCATGTGACAGTGCCAGGCCAATCACCACCAACATCAGTTCTGTCACATAGGTAAGTCACACTTCTCCATACCCAGAAGTACTATGCATTTCCATTGTTTCTGGCAGCACAATTAAATAAAGGTGAGTAATGTACTGCTGCGGGACCAGACTTCAACCTGCACAGGTTCACTATAAGCAAAGGGCAACCCTGGTCCTCATTTAGAGAAAAGGTGTCTCTCAACCGCCAAATCCTGCCCTACAAAACAATGGCCCAGTGCGTTATTCAGGCCACCCTAGATAGAAGTGGCAGGGCCATGACGGAGAAGAAGGAAGGTGTTAATCTCTAACATACCCTGTTGGTCTTTTGGGAAGGCCTTGTGGCAGGCAATGGTCTCATTGTCACAGAAGACAATGCTCAGGAACACCTCTCTCCGTATATATTTCCAGCTTTTTTTTTTTTTTTCCCTCCTTTCTTTTCCCCTTAATTGGGCAAACATGGGGAGCATTTTTTAAGCACATCGTGTAATTTCAGTCTTTAATAGGACAACTAAATTTGAAAATATGAAGAACAAAGTTTATATCGTATGAAAACAAATAGGAAGGAATCTAAAGATGATGATGTTTATTTAGGAAACATTAGTAGGTCTTGTTTTATTTTCTATACCTCCTGTTTTGTTTACTTCAGCATCTTTCAACTCCAGGTATAGAGCTGCTGGGAAGAGCCTGTTTAATTGTCTTGCATTGGGGGCATAGTGGCCGGTCAGGTGTCTGCTGTCATTTCGCCAGGTGCAGGCTCCATGAGGTTCATTTTCAGTGACCGCCGACATCATTCTCACTTCACTGCTAAGTGCTGACCTGTTTTTAAAGAAAACCCTGTCATGAGAGAAATATTAGGGCTGACCTTAGACTTGCTCATTAATTGTTGGCTGCCTCCTTGTTATGCTGACTCCTCTAGCTTAATGGAGAACTATGAGGTGAGTGCTTTCCACTCACCTCATAGTTCTAGCTGACCTGTGACAATGAGACTGTCACAGGTCGGCTCAGTAGATCGGGAGGTGAGCGAACACATACCAGCGTTCGCTCACCTCTCGATCCTGTCACGGCTCTCTGCCGTGAAAGGGGAGGGGCTGGATTCCCCCCTCCCCGCTCTGATCCTCCAGCGCTGACTGGCGGAACGGACGGGGGGGGGGGCGGGTTCAGCTGGCTCTACCTCTAGATAGGTAGAGCCAGCTGTCAGTCACGCAGCTGGGCGGATCCAGGCATAATTGTCGGGATCCGCTTCAGCGGCGGCGTCTTATTATACCGCGAGCAGCAGCTCACGGTATACTGCAGGCGTCTCAGTATACCGCGAGCAGCAGCTCACGGTATACTGCAGGCGTCTCAGTATACCGCGAGCTACAGCTCGCGGTATACTGAGCCTAGGGTGACAGGAGGACGCTAGTTTGTGTCCTCCTATTACCCCAAGGAGAACTATGGGGTAAAAGCCTTAACTCCATAGTTCTCTTTTAAATTCTTTCCCAGTCACTGACCTGGCACAAGTATGCAGCTTAGGAACGTCTTGGAGTCAGCATTACAGCCAGGCTACTAGCCTTTTGTGATGTGGTGGCTGCATTAGTTTTTTACTTTTCAACAAGTTAAAAAAATACCTGATGATGATGATGATGATGATGATGATGATGATGATGATGATGATGATGATGATCTTGCCGGAAATGCAGTATCCTTGTCACGTCCTGTGAGGGGGAAAGAAAGCATTAAAGCAGACTTTTACACTCAAAAATCAAATTCTACCAATTCGTCCCTTTTTATGTATGATTATTAATAATAACATAGACATGTCAGGTGTAAAATGCTGGGATTGTGAAATACTTACACTTGCAGATCATTCAATTCCTGCTTTGAAAGGGCAAAATTACTTCAGTTTGGCAGAGCAATGCACACTGGAATTGCCTTGTCATCAGCAGAGCATTGCTGGGAAATCTCATCTGTAATCTCATGAGATCTCAGGGAAAGGCATTTTCCTTACCTGAGCTGATGTGCATGGTCACATGTGCCAGAAATCTAGGAAGTAATAGGAGAGCTAGTAGTCTGCCCTTAGTAAACATGGCCACTGTCAGAAGGCCCGGGGAAGAAAAGAGAAATAAGGTATGCAAAGAATACAAAGCCTCCAATTATCTAGAAGTATGTGTTTTTAGATTGTCATTACTAAACATTTCTAAAAGTGTGTTTTTTGTTCTTCTGGGTATAGGTCCACTTTAAGA